ATGCACTATTTTTTTATGTATATCTTTAGATCGATACCTTGGCGCTAGAACAACCAACATCCTCTCTCGGCTCAAACGTAGAATTTTTATTCGAAAATCACAGAAACATTGTTGGTTTTAGTCCCAGGATATCGAGGTACATTCCAATTGAAACGATTTTACTAAATGTATTGCACTATATTGCTAAAAGCTTGCAGAGTACAAGGTGTATGCATCTCATACAAGAAGCGTCGAGAAAGGGTCGAGTAGACGCTTTCGTTCAGAGTACGGACAAGAACTTTCTGGTTCCGGTGGGTGGTGCTATTATAGGATCCTTCGACAAGAATCTCTTAGATCGCATATCGAAAATGTATCCAGGACGTGCAAGCGCGAGCTCCGTTATGGATGTGATGATAACGCTGTTGAGTCTTGGAATGGCAGGGTACAAACAATTGATTGCTCAACGTAAGGAAATGTATTCTTACCTGAAAGAAGAATTGGGAAAATTAGCAACAAGGCATGGGGAGAGACTGTTAGACACTAAGGGCAATCCAATATCTATGGCTATGACTCTTCAGTGTCTAAGCCATCAGCATGACAACAAGCAAGTTACTATGCTAGGATCAATGCTATTTCTGCGTAATGTCAGTGGTACTAGAGTTATAACGACCACGGATTCTAAGCACATTGTTTCACATAAATTTGAAGGTATATATTTTTAAATATGATTTAATAATGTTTCTAGAACATATTAAATTTATTGAGATATATACACATAATATCTTCATATAATTATGTTTAACCCAAGAATAGTCACCTGATTTTTGACGTACAAGATAACTTGAGATGTTTTTATACCTCAATTAAAATCATTATTATTAACAACATATTGTATATTATTGTTTTCCAATTTATTAATATGTGACAATTATATGGATATGGATATAATCATAATTTTCTGAAAAAAATAAGTAGAGACTAAACAAATATTAAATGAAATAGCATGTTAAGTAGCTTATAATGGTATTTTTTAAATAAAGATTTTAATTAATAATTTTTTTTTTATTACGGATGGAGTATATTTCGATGGAATTGCATATTTAAAAGTTTTTAAAAAAATAGTTATTAAAAGAGAAAAAATATATTTAACAATATTCATGCAAAATAATATTTTACACTTCATATTTTTTCGCCGCTCGGTTGTAAAAATACCGAAGATGACTGTTTCTGGGTTAAAAATATTGTATCTATATTTTAAGCACATATTTTTAATTTATAGTAGATTTTTATTTTTATTGAAGATATTTCCGTTTTATAATATTTATTTCAATTACTACTACAGGATGGGGTGCACATAACAGCAATTACAGAGTTCCATATCTGACTGCTGCGGCAGCATTAGGCATGAAGAGATCTGATGTGGATGCGTTCATACAAAGATTGGACAAAGCTTTAACGAAAGTAAGGAGACGTTCAGCGCCAGTAACGCCTACTGCTTCACTCGCCGGTTCCAGCATTAATGGGGATGCAGGTGGTACTGGTGGACCAGGGGAATCTAGCACAGCCTCAACCAGCCGTGCAAGTAGCAAAGACAGTTTAAGAAAATGAACCGTAATCAACGCAACTGGCCAGTCCAATCAGCACATTAATATCAATTTGTAAGTAGCTTATCGCTTACAAATTGACATCCATAGCATGTTTCTGAGAAATGTAAATTCGGTACAATCGTTCCTTTATACGTATGTCAATCACGTTTATGTTGACAGAAGTTTTACAATATCTGAAGAAATTTAATACAAAAAACAAATCTAAACTTTTAGATTAAAAATTATATAATACATTTTTTATAGAAAAAAAGACAGGAAAGAAGATGTACCCATATATGGAAACTTTTCTTTTTTAAACAAGATGTAAGAAAATCTCTTACTATATTAATATTGAAAGAAATAATGATTTATATATATTTTCACAGACACATGCTAGATACAAATGTACTGATTCGTCTGCCCATTTGCGTTGAGATATTGTCAATTCAAATTATATACCAAAAGAAGATGAGAATCTTCAGACATTAAAGAGTGATCAAAATTAATATTTGAAAAGAAAAGAAAAGAAAATGATAGGAAACGCGAGGCATTCGGATTCCTATGGCTCTATTTCAGAAACAGATCTCAGAGAGAGATTCAAGTGATAAGCGCTGGCCGCCGATATAATTGTTGAGTATGTTCTTTGTTGAAATGTATATGCTATTATTTATAAAGACACAGGCAACATTGAATTCTTACAATTAACTCTCTTTTCATCTTCTTATTTTCTAATACAGTTTGATATAAATACTTAAGAGGCATGTATCAATCAAAACAAATCGTATATTTGTTTTGTATAATATAAATTCCTTTTCTAAAAGAGTACTATAAAACTTGCAATTTTGTCGATACATGTAGCAATATTCACTATTTAAATTGTTTATAATACTTACCATGTTATTCTTTTGAAAGCTGCATTTCTGATAATTGATTTATTTACATACAATGCACTTTATAGGATTAATTGTTATTAATTGTGTAGTGTTTTTGTTCTCTTTAATTATGTATAGAGAATGAGAATCTTTCTCTTTTATTTAAGCAGAGTATATTCATATTTACGGCACTAGTAAAATGATATATTATCTATAAAAAAAGGAAGCAGTAGTAAAATATTTATGGAAACACACTATTAGGAAAATATGTCAAAATTTAGGTACATAGTACACATAATGACACAACGTGGTATACGAATATGTTTTATCATTGGGTTCATAGAAAATTTATAATACCTTCGCGTATGTAGGTATTATATGATTGGTTTGTTTCCAAAAATGACAAAACCTAGAACACAATATCGTATTATTAATTTGTTTTTAACGATACAGATAATATTATATTTAATTGTACTGTTGTGTAATAAATATAGAGTATTATGCATTTGAACTAGGAGTATGTTATGTGAATATTGATATTGTTTGGCATATTTAGTATTGTTCGCAAGCAACATCAACACGATTACTAACTACTAACACACATACATACATATATTTATACATACGAAAAAAGTATGTTTATATGTATATAGATACCTGCGTACATAGGTATATATACAGATATATTCATACTTGCGCAACTCGTTGCGTATAAAGAATAGTTTATTTAAAGTTTCATAAATTTAGAAAATGGTATATCAAAGTTGTATTTATAAATATTTAATAGAGATAAAGGAGAGAAGTAAACCGATAGGGAGAGATTATTAGTGCTGTTAAAGTTTTATCAAGCATGTATAATTTATGATGCCTGTTGCACCTTCTTTAAATAGGAACGTTAATTATATTTATATTGTATTGTTGACGTTTGGATTTCGTAGTGTATGTACATTTTACGTCGAAATGTTCAAGGCGAAAAATTATTAATCGGTAAATCCATCTGGTAAACTGACAACAGCGCAAAATGACTGTAAATCACCGAGGTTTTCAAAGTTATGAGCAAAAGAGGCAGCGGTATACGCAGATTAGCATTTAATTATACGCTTAGTTGATGGCTTATTAGGATGGCAATGCTAATCAAGATTTTGTGAAGCTCTTAGTAAATAATTATCATTATATTCAATACATTATCCTACTAATAATTATAGCTCTATATTTTTCAATTAATTATAGTCACTACGTCCCTTATATAAAGAAGCGTCTTTTAGTACATATGTACAAATATACCTTTCCTTTCTGAAATTATTTATATTATAATTTATAGGGTGTTTTAGATTCCTACCTTTTATCCATGAATCATTTGATTTTTTTCTAGAGAATCGGCTCCAAAATAATCAAAGAAAAATATAAAACGTAGATCGGTAGGTTTGATGGAATCTTATAGGTACAGCAATACTTATACTTTTAGACAAGATGATACGTTTAGACATGTACGTATATATAAGTTATATATCGCTACTGTATTGCGTACTTTTCATAACTATTAGTTACAAATTGTATATTTCTTTAATTATTCATTTAACTCGAGGAAAAATATTACATGCAGAAAAAATCTCTAAGACGTAGTAAAAGAAATTGCAAAATTACTGCTATAAGAGGATTGAATATGATACTATAATAAGAAATACATTGACGTTATAATATTATTTAATAAAGAGGTGTATATGTTGTGTGTATATGTATATACACATATATACGTGATATACATGTATGAGCGGTCTTTATATCGTGATATCTTGATGTATCCAAGCTATTATCGCGAAAAATCACGCCATCTCAACTATCACTTATATATAATTTACATCTTACTGCTTTATATTTATATCTTTATATTTAAGATTTACCTTTCACTTTTACTTCAGCAAGCAATAATTGTAATATGACGCGTACGATTTTCTGAAGGATTTCCTTTCATTCTATGCTCAAGCAGGGGAGACATTGGAATTTTCTCGAAGAGCAATAGACAAATCAGCCTATATATACGTATTTATATACATGTATATATACATATGCATATATGTGTGTAATAATAGGAAACTTATATTCTAGGACACACCAACGTACGATGGGATCTTATAACTCGTACTCGTGACACATTCCTATGTAAATAAAGAAGTCTCTATCTTTTATTTGATTCACCATCATTTCCAGCTGGATTTCATGCAATAAAGGGCCAGCTTAATTTATAACATCATTATACGCAACAACGATGATCTCGAGGACCTAATTTTTTCCACTCTCTCTATCTCTGTCTCTCCCCCCCCCTCTCTCTCTCTCCCTCTCTCTCCCTTGAGTTCCATGTCCGACATCAGAATCGGTCTGGCTCCGACTGCGGTTTCATTGTCTTTTTATATACGAAAATATAAAATGATATTCTAACGCAAACAGCGAATGCGTCGATTTGAGGAAGCATCTATGTTCGCATGAAAACAAAAATGTGTATTTATACATATAAGGGATAAAATAAAAAAAGAATATATATATATATATCTCCAACCGACTCACTGTATTAAAGTTTTAGGGCGTCGGTAATTGTGAGCGAGCAATTAAGGCTTATATCGAGTATACACATATGACATATAAGAGCGTAAAAGCGAAACGCGAGATAACTCGCAAACGTGTTCTCTGAGTAGCATTTGATTTTTTTTAACGATGTAACATCGCGAAATACATCCGGATAAGTTCGCGATTCTGCTGACACTGTACATAACGCGGCTTTGACGGCTCATCCAGGCTCATCTTCGAACATGTGGGAAAGAGAAAAGCTCATGAACATCATAAAGGCGTCGATTCCCTCATGGGACATTTATTGTTGATCTATAAAAGCTGGCATTCCAAGCACCTAGGTGGAAGCTAACAGGCAAAACGATCGAGAGGAAGAGGATTGTATAGGATCAACTTGAAAACGAAACGGAGATGACAGGGATCTTCAATCTCTTCAATACGTGTTTCCCCTCTTCGGAAATATCCGTTTCCGCCTGACTTCCCTCTGGCGATTGGAAGAAAGACACGCTGAATATTAATCAAATGATAGCGAACAATTGTAAACGGCGTAATGTACGTGCTCTTCCCTAAATATGTGATTACCGTGTAATAGTCTGTGCTTTATTTGTAATATACGCAAACTATTGAATATATAAATAAATTAAAAACTGTTAAGCGACGCACTTTGTTGACTTAAAGGGCGAGAGTACATTTGAAAATAATTATGATTGTGTTCCGATGTAGTATTGAAAATCTATAATATACATAATGTGACCTATTATGTATAAATTTTCAGTACTGATAGTGTACATCGGAATAGAATCTAAGATATATCGGTATAAAGAATTTTTTTTTAAGTAGTCTCAATAAATGCACATTTTTTTAAGTAGTCTCATTAACGCATGACATCACTTGAATGTGAAATTATAAAATTAATGTCATGCGTTAATGAGACTACTTAAAAAAATGTGTATTTATTGAGACTACTTAAAAAAAAATTCTCTCTTTTATTTCTGCACAACTCTGTAATGCTAGTATATGGTGCATAACAACGCTTTTTTACTTTTGAAACGTTATTGTAGGATATCTTTGGAAATATTAATCGTATTGAGTTCAATTTAAGCTCATTTTTTTCGATAAGATACTTTAAATTATCTTATGTCATTTTTTACTCTGCTGCATTTAAAACGACGTAGAAAGCACTAACTGAAAAAGTTTTGCCTATTTTTGCCGTTTTTTTCAAGAAATTTCATTCATCTTCAAATCGCTGTATCTCTGGTTCTATTTATAGTACAAAGCTCGTTAAAAACTCATTTTATAGGAAATTTCAGCACCAACAAAAAGCTCTCTTGCTATTTTTCGATATCTCTTTTCGTTTTCGAGTTTTAATCGAAAAACCAAAAAAAAACTTTATTGCTTAATTACTTCCAAGTGCCTTCCTTAATGTTGTAGCACTTTTAAATTTAGTCTTTTTATACTTCAAACTGTCGATTAAAACAATAAAATACCTGTAAATAATTTCTTCCTTTTTCGCCGCCATTTTCATCTTTGAACTGGCCTATATATCTATCACTCTGTTGACTTTCTAGTGTACCTACACTTGAAAAACAAATTGCAATTTAATTTGAGAGAAAACACAGTTTTTAAATAATGTTAGTGATGTTTCACGTCTTATCTTATTGATTTGAGACACAATTGGACATGATATCAAGGTCATCGTAAAGTTGCGAAAGCCGATAAATCTGGAGAAATCCTCACGTTGTTGAAAGTTTTTGCTTGCATGAGGTTACGTGAGATTCTTGATTTTTACAAGCGACAGGCGGTCGACAAGAGATAACTAAGCCGGCGTGCCGTATGTTAAAAGGAGCACGGTGATTTCGACGAATTTTTGACACTAGAGTGAAAGAGAGATTACTTTCTATGCTTTATTTTACTACGCAAGGTATATAATACGTCTCAAATACGTTCTCAGTCAGCCTAGCAGTCGATAGTTTAGATTGTGACTTGTTTTGACTCCGCGATCGATGAACCTTTTATGTCATCTTTTGCTCGGAGGATTCTGTTGACGTCCAGTGTCGGTGAATTTTTTCATTAATTTTTTCTTCGTATAGTGTTACACGAAATCTTAACGTATATATTAAATATGTTTCAATATATTTGCTAATTAAATTTTGTTGCTCAGTATCGGATAGGTTAGAAAATACATATATAGCTGAGTATCTGATAAAAGTAAAATTACATTTTACTGGTGACTGGAAAAATATTTAAAAAAATAATTGTCGATTAAATAAAAGGAAATTAAATTTTTTTGATCGACTGTATCATTGATTTCATGAATGTGAAAACAGTATACTCACACAGCATGAAATATTTCAGAAACATTTCCAAAATAATTCAATATAAAATTTGAAATATTTCAGAAATTTTTTATAACATCTTTCTGAAATATAAATTTGTTCGGGAAATTTGAGATTTTGAAATTTCTACTTTTTTTCTTACAATATATTTATACAATATTTCTGAAATATTTTATTGAAATATTTCAAAGAATAATTCACATAAATACTTCATACCATGTGGATATACATATATTTGTTATTTCAATAAAATATAGGTACTTTTGTTTTAAATTATTTCATAAAATATATATATTATACCAGTTTGTCCTATAATAAGAATTCCATATCTTGACTTCTTTATTTCAGAATACTTTTAGAATGGTGAAGAGCAAAGCACAAGAAAAAGTCGCAAAAATAAGAAATAAACCTAAGACGAGCAAGAGAATGCAATTTCCAATCAAGCCAATCAATGTTATCATCATTGTGAGTCTGGCAATTGCCGTTTGGATCGGATACAAAGGATACCGCGAAACAAGAGTTAATACTCCATATAATGGAAAAAAGGCATGTATAATTTATCATCAAGTAATCCCATACAACCTAGTTTATCTGATAGACATCGTGGAAATGTCCTTAGAATGTACTATATTCAACAACTTTTGTCTTTAGGACGTTCTTGAAGGAAATGCTGTGATGGAATGTTTCATACTTTTAACAGGCTTGTTTTTTTTTCATATCCAGGGATTGAACTTCTTACATAGTTCATTTTTCTTCTTTTTTTTTACATTGGAGAGAAAAAGACAAGAGATGAATCATGCAAGAAATTCAATCCTGGAATATAGAAAAAGAACGGGTCTAATATATCTTGTAAATATAAATTTTAGTGTTTATTTCTACCAACATAAATTAACTTCAATCTTGATTTAATTTACTACTTATTCTTTTCTAATTTTTTAATTTCTTCTAATTTCTCCTAATTTTCTTAGAATTAGAGAAAGATGAAAAGATTAATTAAACTAAAATTAAACTTAATTTACATTGATAGAAACATAGATATATAGATACAGAACTATTAATATGTGACACAGGATGTAAAATATCAAATAATATAATATTAGAGAATAGTTCCCAAAACTGTAGGAGATATATATCTTATTATTACAGTGTCTTATTTATAAGAAAGTTTTTAAAAATTTAATTGCAGAGATTAGCTTTGGAGATATTAGTGATGTGATCTATTTTTATATATTCTCTGTACATGATTATTTGCAGATTTGTAATTTTTATTTAATCAATTCGATAATTCGATTTTATAATCAATTCGAATATTTTTTTTTTTAAATTAGTTAGTTACTGCATCTGGATTGGATTCTCCGGACAGGTATTGGGGTACCTATCGATCCGGAGTATATTTCGGTTTAAAAACAAGAGACCCGCATTCCTTGGTGACTGGTTTAATGTGGTATTTTCCACGTTTCTTACGTCATGATGGAACTGGATTTAGACACTGGTGCGAGCAAGGTGATGAACTAGATAGGTACTGTATAGTCAAAATCTCTTTCAGTCAGATAAAGAATTCATCAATGTAATTAATGAAAGTTTAAATGTTAGATATGCATGGCTAGAACACGACGGACGAACATTTGGAGTTCAGGAAATAGTAGATAATCCTGCAGTCATAAGAACAACATTTGTCAAAAAGCCTGGCGGATATCACGGTGGTGACTGGACCGCAAGAATTGCGGTGTCATCAAAAAAGGAAGAACAGATTGGCGAAGAAATGTCGTTGTTATTTTATACCGCTATCGAGGAAGGCACGAAGGGTTGGATAAAGGCTAATCTAGGAGACTACAATCGTTTGACAGGAATAGAAGGAAATACACAGGGATTGGGATCTTTTATCATAAATGTGAATTTAATAAATGGCACTATAGAAGAGCATTCCTTTCTAGCGACGATCGCTCCTGGTTTAAACGTGTTAAAAGAAACGGTTTTTCAAAGTCTCCGCATCGCAACCCAGAAGGGATCCATGGAGAAACATGTAGTTTTAGCTGGTGAACAGTTGCCTTTGCTTCCCGAAGGCAAGAAAAAGGATCCGAATTTTGTTGTAAGTCAAGTGACGGGAAAAATTCCTTTTGAGATCGAAGTTAGTTATGAATCTGGCAGTTTCAGCAATAGGATGGACGTTAAATTAACGGGAAACAATTATGACGAGGCTCTCAAGGATCACAGAGAACTGTTCTCAAAGAAATTTGAAAATGTTTTCAAACTGAAGTCTAAGGGATACACGGACGACGAAGTGGCGTTTGCGAAGATGGCGTTTTCAAATCTTATAGGCTCGATAGGTTACTTTTATGGAGCTTCACAGGTGCAAAGTATCTATACTCAGGAACCTGTGCCTTATTGGAAAGCACCTTTGTATACTGCCGTACCAAGCAGAAGCTTTTTTCCAAGAGGTTTCCTGTGGGATGAAGGTTTTCACGGTTTATTAATCTCTGCCTGGGACATGGAGATAGAATTAGATATTATAAGCCATTGGTTTGATCTAATGAACGTCGAGGGCTGGATACCAAGAGAGATGATTCTCGGCCAAGAAGCTGTGGCTAAAGTTCCCGAGGAGTTCATAACTCAGATCAATACAAATGCGAATCCGCCTACATTTTTCTTGACGCTAGATTTTTTGCTTCAGCATAAAGAACAGGACTTACTGAAACATAATTACCAATTGCTCGACAAACTGTATCCACGGTTGCAGAAATGGTTCTCGTGGTTCAATACCACGCAAGTCGGTGAGCTACCCAGTACATATAGATGGCGAGGCAGGGACGAAAAGACTACTAAAGAATTGAATCCTAAAACGCTCACATCCGGCTTAGATGATTATCCCAGGGCTTCTCATCCGAGTGTCGCCGAGCGTCATGTCGATTTGCGTTGTTGGATCGCATTTGCTGCTCGCGTTATGGCTAGAATTGCCGAAACGTTGAGTTATCCTGCTACAAAGTATCAAGAAACATTCCAGTATCTATCCGACAATAACTTGTTGAACAAGCTACATTGGTCGCCGAATGCGCAAGTATATTCCGATTATGGTTTGCATACTGACAAGGTGATTCTACGGAAGATCGCATCACCACCGTCTCGCAAGCAGCAATCTGCTAATATGCAAATGACATCAGAAATGAAACGCATCATACTGGAAAATCCATCATTGAAGTTTGTCGACACAACCTTTGGATATGTATCGTTATTCCCTTTTATTCTGCAGATTGTCGAACCTGATTCGCCTCAATTGGGAAAAATACTGCAGGATTTACGAGATCCTGATTTGCTGTGGACGAAGTACGGACTGCGTTCGCTCGCGAAAACGTCACCTTTATACATGAAATATAATACGGAACATGACGCGCCTTATTGGCGCGGTCCTATCTGGATTAATTTGAATTACTTGACAGTACGAGCAGCGTATCATTATTCTAATGTGACAGGACCATACCAGGAGAGCGCAAAAAGGCTATACCAAGAGTTGCGAAAGAATTTGATACAGAATATTATTATGCAATATAGAAAGACCGGGTATTTGTGGGAGCAGTACGATAGTACGGAAGGAAAGGGTAAAGGAAGTCACCCTTTTACTGGCTGGACTTCTTTGGTAGTACTACTTATGGCAGAAATATATTAAATGTCACGTTAATGTATATAGTTGCGCTTTTGCATTCCTGTTCAACAGTACCAGGCTCAACAACATATTGTAAGAAATTTAGGGGAAATAGGCACAACAAAGAAGCTATCAAGGCTGTGTAGCAAAACGGAAGTCTATTAATATGAAGGAGACCAGAGCCCCTATTCTTGAAAAGTATCGCGTACGAAAAACTAGGGAAATGCTATAGTATATGTAATGCATACTATAGTATTTCTGTAGTTTTTCTTATGCGATACTTTTCAAGAATAGAGGCCCAGCCGACCCAGATCTCTTCCTGGAGCGCCCTGATATTTTTTTCGTGTTGTCGCATATTTCTCACAATATTGACTTTGATCATTCAAAATTATTTCACAAAAGTGAAATCAAAAGACAGTGTTCATTCAGAGTTATCACATGGATTTATTGCTACTGTGCACTTTGCATCTAGCATAGAAAAAATTATATTATTTTGTTATATTATTTTGTTATTACATTATGTACGTATTGTTTTTGTCTTTTATATCATGTTATATGGGAGTCATTGTATTGTCAGATATTGAAAGAAAAGCATTTGTAAAAATGTCAAACTATGTGTATAGATATATGATACACTCGTATATACCATTTACATTAATTGGAAAGATATATATATAATATATGATATTCTTTGATATCTTGATGGCCTGATGTTCTTGATAATTAAGTCTGAATTCTAGATGTATCTCGTTTAATAAAAGCGCTACTTATAATATTTTTATAAGTACTAAATAAGATAACATTTTAATATTATAATATATAATCATAAGTTTTGTATTACTGTTATATATACATATTTTTTGGCACAGTGATTTATTGGAACGTTCTTATTGAAAATATATTTTAGATGTATTTTAGATGAAGCAAATTATTTATTTTCATATTTGAGTAAATTCGAGTTTTATTTTGTTAATATCATGAATTCTGTATACATAACATGTTTTGTAAAATGATACAATATATGTATGCATGTGTATATGTGTGTGTGGAGGGGGGGGGGGA